GGTAGAGAGAACAGAGAGATGGAAGCAGTGACAGGATGATCATTTAGATCTTGTGAAATGGGATATCATCTGGGATTTTGGATATTGTAAGACAATAAAGTAGCATAGAATTTGTTTCTTCATGGTCTTAAGGTGAGATGTGAGAAATTATTTTGATTAGATGATAATCTGATGATAAATTATACTAGTGATGTTTAATAGTCAATGGCTAAATGCCTCAGTGCATGTGGGTAATAAATTATGTGTCCCAAAAAAGGACAAACCCCTGGAAAACTTGGCTTAGGCTCTGATCGTTTCAATAGCTAGAAATGCCCCTAAAGGGCCAAACAGGGACATCACTCTGCCAAACTCAGGATTTGAACTAGTAGCCATTCCGTTCCCCAATGGAGATCCCTAAAAGCATACAGCGAAATTTCTTGCATCCATAATGCTCCAGGTGGTTCCAGAGGGCTGCATGGTGGGAGAGGGCCTGTGAGGGCCTGGATAGATCACATAGCTGATCCTCACAGAGGGAAGACCCTCACAGAGGGTGGTATAGTGGGTTATGGGGCCCTGTTAGGGGACCAGGCGCAGCACCAGTTCTGCTGACACACAGGTGATGCATGCCTGTGGAAACCGCTCAACAGAGTGCCCTCCATCATCCTCTGTCATTCTTGACAGCTTCAGACTGCGGCAGAAGAGAGAGGCAGCTGAGTCCATGAAACATAGGCCATGTTTGAGAAATGACAGCTCAGCCATAAATCAACTGGCACATGTATGAAAAAAGGCAGCTGTCTGGGGTCAATGAAACAAGTCAGATATGAGCCAGATGTCAAATCTGAAGACAGGAACTGTGACTGCAAAAACACTGGTGGACTGTACAGCTCACTGGCCCCGTGGGCACTGCGTGTGAGACCAGGAAGAAAAAAACAAGAAAACCAAAGAGGTCGGAGAAAAACCAAAAAAACAAATGGCAAGAGAAATGGAAAAACCAAAAAGCAGGGGAGAGAAAAAGGACAAGCAAATGGCAAGGGAAGAATAAAGAAACCAAACCGGAGGGGGAAAAAACAGGAGAATTAAATTGCAAAACGAGAAAAGGAGGAAAACTTCTATACTATAGTATACCACCAGTAATGAGGCACATCTGAAGTGCAGGAATGTAACCCTGCCTCAGGACCGATGTAATTACACTGCGATTTTTATTGGGTCATATTTTATTAAGTTTAACAAATTAGTTTTGTTTTATTCTGGGCATGAAACAGTCAATGCAGCCGGGAACATGAATTATTTAACAGGCCTTGCCAAGGAGGAAGAGTAAATGTGCAGCAGCGTATCCAGTCCAGTTCCCTGCTCCCTTACTCATCGTTTACTCCTGAAGTATATCAGAGCAAAAAAACCAGCACTTAACTGGAAGATGATAAATGTGTGAAAGAGCGCAGGTGAAGGATGAAGCTGTTCTTACTGCTCCACTTATGAACAAAGCCAGCCACAAATCACAGGGAACTCGCTCTTCCCAAAACCACTGCAGTTTATGATGCTGCCCCGGGAATCTGATGAATGTTTTTTGAGGGTGATCTTGAGGAAGCAGAAGCAAAATCAGAGAAAGTGAATTAATGAATGAATGAATGAATCACCAAGGCAACACCAGGCCATTTTACTGGTCCCCAAGTAAGAAGATTTGTTTTCCCATGACACCACACTCTGGACTGGTGTAGGAATACTTGTATCTTATTGCCAGACTGGTTAGCAACTCACTTGTGTTACAGGACTGGTTAAACCCAGGCTCTGGTTACTGTTCCTTTGTTTCTCAGTCTTGAGGACTGATGGTGTGACCTTCCCTACGCCTGTGATCCCGTAACGGCCTGCGGCACCCTTCCTGTGTGCTAAGTCCCATGTGATTGAACGTGGTGTACAGAGACTGACGTCCCTCAGGAGTGGATTTCAATTCAATTCAATTCAATTTATTTTTATATAGCTCCTTTCACAACAGAGACGCCCTAAAGCGCTTTACACGGATGTGTTGTGATACATAAAACATCCTTAGAGAGAGATTCATAATGGGGAAAAGGAAGGAATGAAATTGAATAAAGAAAGCCAGAAGACAACGGAGGAGAGGAACCAAGTAAGGAGAAAAAAAAACTCTGGGGGTCCAAGGTCAACTGGTTGCCCAACCCCCCGGGGTATGATAACATCACGGAAAACAGATAAGCGTCGACAAGCTTGCTAAAATGTAATTATAAGCTATTCCCAGGACATATGGGAAGGCAGAGAGCATGGATGGTCAGAGAATGCATTGACACATAAATGGACAAGCATAGTAGATAAAAATGACATGTACAGCAGCTCCAGCAGCCATAGTTATGGTGTAGTAGATTGCGGGTAAGCTAAACTGAAGTAATGGGTCTCCAGTCGAGATTTAAGGACCGAATCGGCATCCCAAACATAGGCTGGTAAACCATTCCTCAATATAGGGACCCTGTAGCAGAATGCTTTACCGCCCACTCTCACTTTATTTATATGTGGAACGACAAGGAAACCTGCATTCTGTGACCTGAGTGGACGACGCGGATTGTAAAATTGAAGTAATTCTGTCAGGTAGGCAGGAGCTAGACCTTTAAGTGCCTTATATGTAAGTAGGAGAACTTTGAAGTCAGTTCTGAACCTAACAGGAAGCCAATGCAGGGAACTAAGAACAGGGGTTATGTGTTCAAACTTCTGCTCCTGGTGACAATTCGAGCTGCTGCATTTTGAATACGATAACAGAGCATTACAGTCTAACCTACTGTATACAAAGGCATGCATCAATTTCTCTGTGCCTTGAATAGTAAGAAAGGTGGTGATGTGGCGTTGCTGTAGGAAGCACACCTTCGATACTGCATCCACATGTGATTTAAATAAGTAGCCTGTGATTAAGATGACACCTAGGTTATGGGCTAAACTGCTGAGGGAAAAATTCAGCCCTTTGGAGTGGAATGCGGAGATTATATTCCTATCTGTAGACCTGCCTCCAAGCAACAGAACCTCGGTTTTCTGAGCATTTAGTGATAGGAAACCATCCAGGTTTTGACTTTGTTAAAGCAATTAGCTAAGGTGACAACAGATGTGGTGTCGCTAGGTGTAACCGTAGTTAAAATTAAGTTTTCTCATTATGTATCCTAATGGTAGCATGTAGAGAGAAAAGGATAATGGACCAAGCACTGATTCCTGTGGTACTCCATGTTTGACTGGTGACATTGACGATGGAGTACAAGCATCCGACACTTGAACATATTGATAACGATTAGTCAAGTACGATTTAAACCACTTCAACACTGTTCCACACAATCCAACCTCAAATTTAAGTGTTTCTAGTGGATGTGGAAATGCGTTGCGGGGCGGGGGTCTAGAGAGAATACGGATGGCAAGATATAAGCATGTTTCAGTTAGGGGGGGGGGAGCTCAGAGTCGCCTGGGCTGAGAGAGAGAGAGAGACAGAGAGAGAAAGAGAGAGAGAGAGAGAGCCATCAGGGCTCCACTGAGAAGCAGCAAGAGGGTCCTGCGAGTGGCGAGAAGCACCACTGAACTTGGGGGGAGGGGGGGGGGAGTAACTGTACGCAGCCACTGTCCTGATCAGGGATGGGGAGACGATGAAATCACACATATTAACTGGGATAGATGACATGGTTATGAGTTAGAATATTCCAGACGAAACCTCGAAAAATCATATGAGAGGAAACAAGAGGGATGAAATCAGCACAGCCAAGGATTCTGTGTCTTTCAGTCGACCCTCTCCCCCATAAACGCCATCCTTCATGTTATTTTCCTAAACAAACACCAGAAGCATTGTTCTGTTAGAAGAGGACATGAACATCAGCTGCCGGAAAGCACAAATTAGAAGGACAGGCCAAATAGACAGTGACGGAGAACATTTACAAGAATCATCTGTAAGGCAGACTGTTCCGATAGAGGCCTGCATTCCCAGTCACCAAATCAGGTGATGTACAGTGTTTGCGTCACCAGCCTGAATGTTCCATTTAAATAAACTCCATTAAAGCCTGCAGTGGTGAGTTCTGTACTTCAGTGCAAGCGAACAAGTAAGTAATTTAAGACAATTAGCAAACGGCAAACAGGAGCAGCTGAGCAAATGATAAGTGGAGAGACAAGAGAGACGAGTGTCTTTCCAGACTGAACTGGGGACGGAGAGCGATGGCTATAGTACAGGCCGTTTATGGGAACAAAGCAGATCAAGGAGGTCACAGGTCTCTCTTCCTGCCACAACCACACCGGTGGGTGAGATATTTTCAGCTGCAGGGACCTTTGAGTATGCTGGTAAAAATTATGGAAAGCCCATCACACGAGCACATTCCAAGCACACAGATGCATGTTGTATATATATACAGTATGTGTGTGTGTGTGTGTGTGTGTGTGTGTCTATATATACAGTATATATATATATATCATTTATCCTACCTGGTCATTTGCCTGAAGAAGAGTTTGTTTAGTGTTGGCTATTTCAAGTGAGACAGTAGGCAGATCTTCTTGCAAACATGTTTGCTTGTTAAGTCCTCATCCACTTGTCAGAAACAAACAGTCAGATACTCTGCGCCGCTGAATCTCACACAATGGATCGACTCCTAACGCTTGTAAGACTGACAGCTTGGGGGTGCTGTGTGGTTCAGTACGTTAGGCTGCTGCAGCCCTGATCAGAAAGTCGCCGGTTCAGATCCCAAGGTTGGCAGTGTGATGTCACTGCTGGGTCCCTGAGCAAGGCCCTTAACCCCCACTACCTCCATATATGTACATCACTTTTACATAAAATATAAGTATCAGCTAAATAAATAACAATGTAAATGAGCTCCGCAGGAGTGATGCCACACTCCTAACATAATGGCATTGCAGTGCTGTCATCCCCGTTCACCTGTTCCTCTCATTCCCGGTTTCCAGTCATCCACCTATAAAACAAACGAGACGAACAGCCTTGCCATGACAACACTGCAGTTTCACCAAGTGCCTGTGTGTGCAATTCAAAGTCAACACTGAGCCGAGATCTACTGATTTATTTTCGAAACATACAACTCAACAGTGAAGTCTTATTCGCACGAATGAAACTGGTCAACATCTATAAAACGAAAGAGGTTCTCAATTTACAGTACATACGATGGCTGTAAAGTGGCAAGTTTAAACATCAGCAAAAGAACGACCATGCCAGAAACCAACAGGTATTGGAACACTTAATTTCAAGTAAATCCATTTTTCTCATTTACACATATTCACATATTATGGGTTGGAAAGTCCTCCCCAAGGCTGTGAAAACACAAGTACTATACAACATCCCAGTAAAATGCAGATGTTTTGGATGAAAGCAATGTGGCGTGCAGAAATGGCTGGAGAGGCCTCCTTTGGCTGGTTGTCTGAACATGAGAGCACTTTTTGATGTTTTTACTGATATACCCTGGGGCTCATCCCTGTAGCTCCACCTAGAGGATGGAGCAGGAGCCTCGTGTGGTATCGCGCACATCCAGAGCTACAGCCTGCAATACTGGCAAAATCCAGAATGCAAAAAAATAAAAGTGCATCCATAAATCAAAAATAAATAAATAAAATCATGTGCTACTCATACAGAACAGTTCTACTAGAACGTTCTATGGGTATTATGAGTCCAGACAGAGACGAACACCATCATAAAACAGCAGGGTAAGTACAGACATTTGAGGGCAGGTGGATTAATACATCTGTCATGATTACTGTGACGCTCTATGCCAGAATCTGATGTGTCTATTTTTACGCACTGCACAATTGAAGGAGTACACTCTCTGGAGTTTCAGGCATTGGAAACTCATTGCCGTAAGGGATTGTGTTTAAGATTTATTTTAAATCCTTAAAAATAAGCAAATTAAACAATACTTGCATTGATTTTGCAGATTATGCTTTTAATCTGAAGAAATTCTGTCATACTCAAAAACACCAAACCGAATCAATGAATCTACCTCCAACTCTGAACCTTTATACCTTCTGGCCTCAGTCTCTCCACATGCACACACCATAATCTTCTATCCTCAGGTCACACTAACCAACCGTAACTAAGCCTAACCTTCCCTGATTCATCCAAACCTCATCACCCTAGCCTGATTTTTCCCGCTGACTAAATCACCAGCACTCCGGATGCTCCCGAGATAAAGTGCATTTCAGTAGATTCATTAATGAGTCACAGTACGATTTAACAATAAAATAAACTTTCACAAAAGACCTTCACAGTTCGCTGTAACTGAAGTAGTGCCTCACTGTAAGAATTATGGGTGTTCTAGCCTGTCAAAAACATACTATACCACACTTACAAAAAGCCCTTAGATCAAGGAGTCCATGATTACATGCATCAAAAGCATTTTCTTCTCCAAGATACATGCCAGCTGCTTGAAAATATGTAATTTATGGCAGACGGTCTGCTTTGTGATGAAGACCTTAAGTTATTATCACCCTTTTCTTGTTGCTAAAAATCTCAGCTTGTGCCAGCAGAGATGTGGCCAGTTTGAGCTGCTACCTTCTGAGCTGAAACCAGGATCACATTAGCAGTTGCTTCACGAGACATTACAAGGCATCTCTGAAGATACGTGTTTAGGTTAAAAAAAATCTCCATATCAGATGTTTCCAGATGTTTCAGCTCAGTATTTATTCCCGCAGTGTTTTAAATATAAAAACGTTTATGATCATATATATTACAATGTGTACAATTTTTTAGAAATTTGAAACCTTTCAAAGTGACCTGATGTGTGTATAGTCTGCTTATTCAAACAGATTTTTAAATAGACTTTAGGCATTCAGCAGATGCCTGAACGTTGATAAGACATGGCTTAGTTAAGCATGGAACCATAGAGCATCTCTGCACTTACATCCAAGGTGCAAAAAAATAAATCAGTAATAAGAAAGTCACCTTCAGCCTTTGACTATCCTGTTTCAGAAGAGAGAAAAAGGCAAAACACTTCCGGCAGATCCCATGCCGTGTGCAGGACAGATCTGGCCCTCCCCGGATTGCTAAGCAGTCTAGGTCCCCCAGAAGCTGAACACGCATGTGAAACACGCAGAAGCACGGGGTATATACAGAGAGACAGCCACCGATAACGACAGAGGAACATGGCGGCTGCAAGCTTCACCACAACCCCGTCCGCATCACGGCACAATACCGGCTCGATAAAGACACGCACTGCTCACCAAACTGTAGCGAACGCCAAAATCAGGCCGCAGAGGAAATAGGCAGCTCACCAGTGTTAGAAAGCGCTGAGGGATTAAATTATCCTCATTTTGGTTTTACACAGTTTAAGTGATAACTAATCTTATCACAGATAATCTGGTCTTGAATGGTACACATCAGCAGTATTCTCTGGACGGTATATCAACCCACAAACCTGGTTAGCCAGTTAATGAAACATAAATTGAGCTACAGAGGAACAGGGTGCTTTGAATGGCTGGTTAATATAAACTGTGCTGGAGTGTGACGTGTTTATCACACGGGGCTCTATGGCCATTTAAAAACACGTGAGAAGCATCAGTCCGCATTTTTCTATAAACAGCTGCATACCTCCGCTGCAGGCTGTGGGTAACTCCTCACGCATGTACACCACACACAGCACTCGCATCTCACAGTTAGACGTAACCAGTACACCTTCAGTCCCCAAAGTAACTCCAGGCTCCCTCCTGTCCATTTCCAGCAGAGAATATTCCAGAAGATGGAGCCCCATCGTGCACCCATTCTGTGAGGTACGTCTGCTCGTGATTCTGATCGGACGGCATCAAGAGCCCCGCTTTCAGTCGCAGAGACTTCTTTTGTTAAAACTTCACATAATGAAAAGCTAAAAGGAAAAAGTTTTAAAATAAAATTTTAATTGTAGATCCAGAGACCTCCGAGGTCGTTCAGTGAGGAGAATTTCAGGCGCTTCTACGGGCAGCCCTGCCGTGCCTGAGTAAGTCGGCCATGTTTGGGTCCTCGATCCCATCACATTGCAGGGAGCACAGACCCAGGGCTCAAGTGCGTCCATTTGCTTCACGGTGACTGTGGTGTCCTCCTCGTGAAGGTCCTGTCCAGAATTGCAGTGGAAGCCCTGCCTGGCAGACAGAATAAGAGGCGGCTTGGTGGCAGGGTCTCCACACATCCTGGCAGGACCCCTAGAGGCGAGATCAGTACCAATGTCATCGTGGCTCCCATTCGCAGCCAGCCAGCTCAGTCGCCTGGGTCAGCGAATCGAAAAGAGGCATCCGAACAGCTTATTATAATACGATCAGCTTAGTTTAGAAGGATAAGCGTTCAGCAATCTCAGTGGGCAGGCAAGCCAGTGTTTGGCCGTATTCCGGCATCTTCTCAACCAACCTGCTGCTTGGGTGAACCCACACGAATCCTCTGAGGAATCCCTCTCAGCAGATAGTCTCCAAGTGACACTGATTCTGTAAAAGACACACAAACACACACGCCCAAGGTCTCATTAATACATATATGAGCCTCTGTAGGCATATTAAGGACTGAGGCCACAAGTGGCGGGCCTAATATAGAAGGGATGCTTTAAATAATAGGGCTCAATTAAATGCTCTAACAGTTAATTGATTTCTATTATTAATTTTAAGTAAAAACGCTACTCATAAAACTAAATTTGGAGAGGTAGAAGTTAATTAGGTGTATGTAGATGGTTTCCAGGGAGAGCCTGTGATTTTGTGAGGTGCAATGATTATTAACCTGGCTCATTCATCCCAATAAAATAAAAATATGAATAAATGCATGGTATGACTGTTTTTGCAAAATTATGGTGCTATGCATTAGCAAGATATACAGCGTTAGCACTTATGTGCCCAGAGAAAGTTTGTCAGGGGGCGGTAAACAATGTTTAACATTTCCTGATGATGAGCAATACGCCTCTTTAGCAATAAGAGTGACTCCTCAGCCTTTTCGGTTTGGGTTGTGATTCTCCTGCCTGTTTAACGAATGTCAACAAATACAGTACCTCCAGGCTTTTCTTAATGCAGAAAAGTTTAAGCCAAAGCAATGATGAGTAAATGCACTCTCACACAAGAAGAGTCACAACACTCGCCACAGCAGCTTCACACAAGACGAGACAACACTCTCACACAAGAAGTTACAGTTCTCTCACACAAGATGAGTCACAACACTTTTATGAGTCACACCTCTCTCACACAAGATAAGTCACAGCACTTTTAAGAGTCACACCTCTCTCACACAAGACGAGTCACAGCACTTTCAAGAGCCACGGCACTCTAACACCAGACGAGTCACAGCGCTGTCACACAAGATGAATTGCAGTACTTTCATGGCTCACTGCACTTTCATACAAGATGAGTCAAAGTACACAGAAGTGAAGGGAAGTCAATGAACCCAAACAAACAGCACCGCAATGCCGGTGATGTGGGAGCCGGCCAGCGTGTGGTAAATGGTGCCTCTTACTGAGCCAGCCCACTGGCGAGGAAGGTCCTCTGGCTCCGGGGGGTATGACATCCAGGACGGACTCCTGTAAGAAGTGGGGGGCGTGGCTGCCGAGTAGCCTGAGCAGCAGGGCCGGCTGGCATAAGCTGCTGTGATTGGGTTTCCTGTGGATGATTGACAGTGAAAAGGCCAATTCAGATGGAGCTTTTGGGGATGTCTAAGCCACACATCATCAGACACATTTCACCTTAGCATATGTTTGGACTAGGCAGGGAAACAGGAGTACCCAGCGGAAACATGCAAACTGCACACATGTGAAGCAAGGCAGAGACTCGAACCTCAATCCCAGAGGTGTGGGGGAACAGTCCTAACCACCGCACTGCCCATTATTGTTCCTGTGATTGCCAGATCAATATAGGCTGATTTTTTAACGATATAATCATAAAGGACCAAAATTTTATGATCCAGACCCTTACTATCTGATCCAAGAGCCGTTATGTGTCTCTGGGGATCAGAACAATACTGGACTGCAAACCATAGTCACCTGAGTAATTTGCTGCATGCTGATCGACGGCGGCTCCTGGGAGAGGCGACCGGCTCATGGGCACACGGACGCTGTCGTACACACTGTGCATGTCTGCCATGGAGCATTCCGAGGACCTGGCCTTGGGCCCAATGTCCGAGGTTGAACTGGGGTAAAAAATGGTCAAGTTAAATGCAATATTGTCTTCATGCCACTAGGGGGACCACAGCACTAATAAGCTATAGGTAATGCTGATAAAATTGTAATGGGTCAGAGAATGTTCCTGAAGTCATATAAGTACGTTAAGAGTTATAAAGACTCATACCGCAGTAGCGAGGCCCCAGGAGTGTGTCCTGTCCGAGGGGGTACTGGGGGGGGCGCCATAGCCATGTCAGGCAGCTGGGTAAAGCGGAAAGCCTTCAGGCAGTGGAGAAAAGGAGGAGCAAAAGTGAGCTCAGAGATCATAGTTATTACATAGAACACCACCCTGCCAAAGTCAGGGATTCAGTGTCAGTGCACAGAACACCACCCTACTAAAGTCAGGGATTCAGT